GTATTAGAGTCTGAAGATTAGTACTATGCTAATATCAAGGTCTGCACACTAAAGTTTGACAGTTAATACTATGCTAGTAACAAGCTAGTACATAGATCTAAAGGTCAGTACTGTGACAGCACTAAGCTAGTACTAAGATTCAAATGTTAGTACTAAGATCTTAACATTAGCATTATACTAATACTTAGACTTTAGAGAGTAGTACTAAAATCTTAACATTAGCATTATGCTAATACTTAGACTTTAGAGAGTAGTACTGTGCTAGTATTAAGCTAGTTCTAAGACTTAGAGATTAATACTATGCTAGTACTAAGGCTTCAAGAAATAGTATTAACATTTGGATCTAAGTATTAACCTTTATACTAATATTGGCTTGGTGTAGAATGATAATGATGTGACATGATCATAATATGTTTATTATCTTTGATCAGAAATGAATGAAAAAAACTTTGAAACTTTTTATTATCAGTTTGTCTAAAAGATCATCAAATAATTAAAAACAATTGCTAATATGTCATTCAATTGCTTTTCAACCTTTTTCATTATCTTAATTAAGAAAAGATATTGATAATATTTCAATCCTTTTATCATGTATTGCCAGTAAGGATGCTGAAAAGATTTCAACTTTATCTTTAATATTTCAATCATTTATTACCTCACATTATTGATTATTTCATCTACATTGGGTGAAGCAATCAATAATTTATAAACATATTGTAACTATGTCACATTTTTGTTATCCTACACCAAGCTAGTAACTAGAATATAAGTCAAATTCAAATGCTGATAGTATGCAAGTATAGTACTATCTCCTAAAGCCTCAGTACTAAATTTAGTACTGGTATACTGCTCACATTAGAAGCTTAGAAAGAAAACTTCAAATTGTTTAGCATTTTTACTATCAATTTCAGAGAAATATTCATACTTGTTTTAATCTTTTCTTATCAAATGTCATAAAAAGATTAAAAAGAAATGAATGAAATATGGGCCATTCTTTTGCAAACATTTTACAATCTTTTTAATAAAGTTATAATAAGAAGGTTTCAAAGTTTTTCATTCTTTGCTTACTAAAGATAATTGCTCTTCTCACTTGCATATCACCTTTTTAAAAAACTTTGCATAGTGATGTTAGCATAGCTGGCTTTTGGATGACTGTACTGATTATAGCATCTATATTGTCACTGTCAAATGCAGCAATAATATCTGTTCAAGTGATAAGTGCTAAGGCATCATTGTCTTTCTATTGTAATAATTCATAATTTAGCAGGGCTTCTAATAAGTCTTTATTAAAGAGTGCATTGATAGTTAAATGAACCTGATTCTGATGTCAGTACATTGTCTTCACATCTGTTTCAGCTATCATGCCTTGACATGACAACTAGTTCAAAGCATCAATATGAGCAGTTATATATCAACAAGCAATCTATGAACAGCAAAGAATCTTTTGAGTTTGCTGAAGCTACTGCTAATCACATAAAAGGATGAGATTGACAAAGTCTTGATCACCATGATCTCAATAGTGACAATTCACTGTATGAAACAATTAATAATTTAAGATCACAGATTATTTAGATATTAAAGAATAGCTTAATTTTTTTAGTGTCTTTACTATTAACTTGTAATAAAGAATTTTAAATAATGAGAAGATTAAAAAGATTAGATAAGATATTAACAACTATCTTTTAATTATTTTACAATTTCAAGATGAAGTTATAATTAAAAGTTTTAGAATTTCTTATTCTTTTCTTGCTAAAAATAATGAACGTGTTGTAATCATATCACATTTTTGTCATTGTATACTAAGCTAGCACTCACTGGGTGAAACAATCAATAATTTGAAATGAAAGATGGTGAAAATATTGAAGAAAAAGTTTAAATCTTTTAAGCATTTTCACTGTCAATTTGTGATAAAAGTATTTATAATATTTTAACATCTTTTGTTGTGAAAGATGATGAAAAGATTGAAAAGAGATTGGATAAAATATTAATAATCATTTCTTCAATCATTTTACAACCTTTTATACAAAACTATGAACTAAGATGTAGAGATCAATACTATGCTAGTACTAAGGCTTTAAAAGATAGTACTAACATCTGGATCTAAGTATTAACCTCCATATCTTAGTACTAGCTTAGTATATGAAAACAAGGGTGTGACATAGTCACAATATTTTCATCATCTTTGATCAAAAAAGAGGTTTTAAAACTTTTCTTCATAGTACTAGCATAGTTATAACCTTCAAACTGTAGTACTAGCTTGGTACTAGTGTAGTACTAGCATAGTACTAACATTTGGACTTTAGTATTAGCTTAGTGCTAGCATAGAACTAACCTTCAAACCTGAGTACTAATCTGCAGACCTTAGTACTAGCTTAGTACTAGCATAGTACTAACCTTCAGACCTTAATATTAGCATAGTACTAGCTTTTAAATCTTAGTGTTAGCATACTGCTGACATTAGAATCTTAATACTACTCTTCTGACTATAGTACTAGTATAGTGCTAACATATAAACCTGAGTATTCACCTCCATATCGTAGTACTAGCTTAGTATATGAAAAAACAAGAGTGTGACATCATCACAATATTTTCATCATCTTTGAGTCAAAAAAAGTGAAAAAGATTTTGAACCTTTTCATCATAGTTTTGTATGAAAGATTGTAATATGATTGAAGAAATGATTATCAATATTTCATCCAATCTCCTTTCAATCTTTTCATCATCTTTCACAACAAAAGATGTTAAAATATTATAAATACTTTTATCACAAATTGACAGTGAAGATGCTTAAAAGATTTGAACTTTTTCTTCAATATTTTTACCATCTTTCATCTCAAATTACTGATTGTTTCACCCAGTGACTAGCATTGTACTAACATTTGAACCTTAGTATCAGTATTAACCTACTAATCTCTAAAGTGTAGTGTTAGCATAGCACCAGTTTAGTTCTAGTATTATGCTAGCTCGGTATTAACCTTCAAATCTTAAAGCTAGCTTTAAACTAAGATAGTGCAAACATTTAGATCTCAGTACTAATCTTTAAATATTAGTACCAGCTTAGTACTAGCATATCCATAGCATCATAATAATCTTTAACTTGATGTCAGCTTAGTGATAGCTTAGCACTAGCATAGTACTGACCTCTAACTCTTAGTATTGTTATATTAATAGCACAGTGTCAACATTTTAATCGTAGCACTAGCCTTTAGATTGAAGTACTAGCTTAGTATAAGATGACAAGAATGTGATATAATCATAATATGTTCATCATCATTCATTCCCAAGAAGATAATGTGAAAAATTTAAGGACTTTTAATTATAACTTTATTTAAAGATTGTAGAAATTAAAATGAAATAAGTATTTATATTTTATATAATCTTGTTTTCAATGTCTTTATTATTTTTACAAAAAAAATGTTAGAATATTTAAATGCTTTTATCACAAGTTAATTGTAAAGATGCTGAAAGGATTTAAACTTTTTAAATATCTTGATTATCTTTTAGCTTAAACTACTGATTGCTTCATTTAGTGATACATATATAAGGTCAGCATATAAAGTGAGAAATTCCAGATCCTTTCTCCTCATCCTTTGGATAGCACATCTATATTGCACCTACTACTCTTTAATATTATAAGCTATAAGCAACTTCTTTGCTTCTTAAAGTAAGTTCATTATGTGAATCAGTGAGTCTATTAGTCTCACATATCAAGGGCACAGCTTTTGAGAACCATCCTTTTTTATTGCATCTGCAGACTTTTTTTATGCTGTCTATTAGCATTTGTGTAACTTCATTTTCTTTAAGTGTTTATACAAGCACTAGCATTTGAGCCATCTAACTAATCACAGTATGTGATATTCTTTTGTTGAATTATCTGTGATATCATTGGCTAGCACAGTAGCACTTTTTAAAGTGCAGTATACATATCTTGACTGTTGCATGCTATGCATCTTTTATATCTGTAAATAACACAGTGGTGCCCTCATCTTGGTCAGACATTATAAAGACATCAAAAATTATTATAACTTTATCTTTAAGATTATAAGATAATGAAGAAAAATGACGATAAAAATTTTATCCAACCTTTTTCTAATCTTTTCATCATCCTTCATAACATTTTGAACACTTTCATCACAAATTGACAGTAAAGATGTTGAAAAGATTTGAACTTTTTCTTCAATATCTTTATCATTTTTTACCTGAATTGCTTCATCTCAGTCTAGTATTGGCAGACTTTTAACATTGAAAATGTCACCAGCTAGTCTAGTATTTTATCACACCTCCATATCATTGTACTTTTTACTAATACATTGCATTAGCAAGAGCTTTGATTTTAGGCTGGCATCTACTACTGTCTTTTTCTTGATGCATTAGTGCTAGAATGATAAGCAGATTTGTGATAGTCATCTTCAATGGCATAGATGATATACTAAATAAGAGCTTACACTAAAGGAAGCTAGTAGAAAGTTACTAAAAAATGAGTTTAGAAAGTAAGACTCAATTTTATTAAGCATTGTACTAATAATGTTTGTATGAAAAAATAGGATCTTTACATAGGGTGGCTAAATAAAAAGGGGCTCACAGAGATGATTGAGCTCAGAGAAATGTAGTTCAGAACATATACTATCTATGTGACATTTCACTATAGCTATAAATTACAACATCATTTCTGTCACCTGGCTCCAAGCTACATGCCCTGTTCTGAGATATTTCATCATATTCACAGTAGCATGTACATCTGCAAGACATAGGTACCTCACATTTATCTTATCCAAAGCATGCAGCTACATAAAAGTCTTATGATACCATAACTTGAGCACTAGTTGAAGAAAGATTATGGTCTAGGCTTGATTTTATTGAAAATATAATCCTGCTCATTCTATACTTCTGACAATTGATACAGTTCAGATTGTCTCATCGATTTATGTTAGTCACATTAGAGTCACTCCGAGACTATCACCACAATATGTTCAGAATGTTTCTTATAAAATCATAGGCTTTGCCTTTCTCATGTATAGATTCAGTGCTTGTTGAGATGAAAGACAAGATTAACTAATTACAAAGGACTACATGAAAGCACCTGCAAACATGAACTCTTATCTACAAACCAAATATGGTTTTCACCAGCTGAACAGTCTCAGGATCCCCAGTATTCTATCCCTTGCATGTCATTATCAATCTGCATGAATACGCGCAATGAATTACCTTGGTCAATTCATCACTGATCTTTACACAAGGCTTTCCATTTGCTGATGCTAGTTTGATCACCATGTTCAATGCTTTGCTGACTTTGGCACCACCACTTGATAAAGACTTGAAGTCATTCGAAAATGATGTACCAATGCCAAAGGAAGCTGGAACAGCCCCAGCTTACATGAGTATGGCATGTTGTAAGCTTGGGTATAATTCACCTTTGAAGCCAACGGCATCACATTGTTTTTTCAATTTTAGGACTTTCTCCACATTGAGAGCATCGGAGAAAACTATTGTCTTTTCGCGATAGTCAATGCCGAGCTGTTCATAGATCTGCTTGGCCCGAGGAGCGTATACGAAAGGATCGCCGGAATCTTGGCGAAGGCCAGTCCACTTCCTAGCTATGTCGGGGTTGCGGACAAAATCCTACAATTTGAACTCAGTTCCGGTGTCAAAGAATGAAAGCGTCAACCGACCTTGTAGAATGCTTCGGTGGAGAACGTGTCTGTCAAAGCTATGTGTAACTGATCCGGGTACACAGCTTCCCAGAGCCTCAAAGCGATATCGTTCGCGTGCGCATAGCCCTCGAGAGCTCCTATCTAAATTCAAATGTCTGGTCATCCGAATGTCCATTATTTTGACAGCACACCTACGGCCATATACCATTCACTGTTGAGACAAACAGTTGGCTGAATTGCAGACGGCAATGACAAGTCATGACGTACTGCGCGATAGTTCCGACTGGGGCAACGTTATGCAAGCGTGCTAGATGGACCTAAGGCAACATGAGCATAGCACGGTTGGGTGATGGGGTGACGCGCACGTTGCTTGTCCCGGTTAGTCTCCCCTGGTCAGGATAGTCCTTCGATGCACGAACCAATCCATGCATGACAAGATCGTGAGTGTGGAACGACCGGCGCCGTCTCGTCCCAAACTCGCTAAATACGCATCCGGCTTTGAGCAAGGTCTCTCCCTTGTGATATGCGTTCTCTGGGTTATGAGTGAGCATGCTACAGCTTATAGAAGAGGTCTTTGAACCTTCCTGGCCATCATAATTCCAGTCAGTATCCACCGTCCGGAAGTATATCTCGCTTAAGCAGGCCATAAGCGGTACTTCCCACAGTATGGTTTCCGCCCAAGGGCCGATGGCATCAATCTCGAGACGTCCCCATTTGTCATCATCAGGCCGAGAAACGAATTCCACATGAACTTGATCGGGCTTGAACTGGTATTCTGACAAATACTGCAGATATTCAGAGGTGAAGTAAGGGCAGGCGGCCTTGAGCCACTCCTTCTCAGCATCGGTCAGTCTCAATTCTCCAAAGTCTAGTGTTTGTGGGTATTCGGATTAGACTAATATCAAAGATGAATGAAGAAGTGCGCACGAGTCACGGAAAGCTTGAAGTGTTCAAAGCACTCTCGCGTAAAGTAGACATTCTTGTCGCGGTGCGTGAAGTGATAAGTGGCCTGTACGTCTGCGAAATGCTGCAACACTGCCTGCTGCATCGTCAACTGTGAGGACACGATACGCACTGAGTACAGGTGACTGCGCGTAAAGTGAACGGACGCCGTGCCTTGTACAAGTCAGTGTCCAGCAAGGACGCAGGCAAAATCGTGTTTGATGGCTTCAAAGACATCGTGACTCGCGCGAGAGATGAGAAGGCAGAGTAGAGGCAGAGTCAGCCCAAGAGCGCAGCGCCGCCGCAGTGGTTATCGCAACCATTGGACGCTACCGGCAAGTTGCGAGCCGTCGCCTTTTACTCTCCATCCAGATAATATCCAAATGGTGCGTCACAAATCGCCACCTTTGTCTCCCTGTTCTCGGCTAAACTCATCGACAGAGCTCGCGGGTGGAGATCCTGAACGACGGAGGCTACCGCTCGGACGGGCGACGCCAATATGAGCTGCGGGACATCATCATCGACCTCTCTCCGCAGGGCACCGCAGACGGCTCGGCCACCGTCACTCATGGCCTCACTCAAGCCCTCGTGACGGTATTTGGGCCAAGAGAAGCAAAAATGCGCTCGCAGACTTTGCACGACCGGGCAGTCATCAATGTCGAGATGAATGTCCTACCCTTCAGCACAGGAGAACGTCGTAGGCGGGCACGCGTAGACAGGTGGGCGAACTGTCCAGCACATTGAGCGGCACAGTATCTGATTGACTTCTGCAAGAATCCAGGCGAACACTTGAGCTAGCCGCGATGATCAAATCTACGTTTGAACCAGTCATCCAGACGAATCTCTATCCCCGCTCTCAGATTGACATCTTTGTCCAAGTGCTCCAGCAAGACGGTGGACTACTTCAAACATGCATCAACGCGACCACTCTCGCTCTAGCGGCTGCTGGAATACCGCTGCTCGACTTTGTCTGCGCCATCACTGGAGGCGTACACACTACGTCACCGGTGCTGGACCTGACAATGCTCGAGGAGAACGACCTTCCTCATCTCACTGTGGCTGTGATGCCGAGAACGAAGAAGATTACCCTTGTCACCCTGGAGACTCGACTGCACGTGGACAGATTCGCCGAAATCTTTGAGCTGGCATGTGAGGCAGGTCAGACTATCCACAAGGAGATGAAGCGCGCCGTGAAGGATCGGATGAGCACCTTGGTCGCTGCGATGGGTGCTGGGCTTACACAAGGTGCCAGCGGCGAGACTGCAGAACAAGATGCGATCATGGATGGTGTCGTTATGTATGAATATTGAAAATCATCAGATAATGTCATTGCGCAACTAGATACACTGACATGGGGCCACATGAGAACGTCACTCGCGCATGATCTCGACCCTCTTGAAACATGCTAACCATTTCTCTCCCTGACTCCTCTCGACCTTCTTCCCTTCCTCTGTGCTGGTGTATACAGCGTCAAGAATGGCACCCTTACCTTCCGCTCGCAGGGTCTCCTCACTGATGGGCTCGAAGAGAGGAAAGGCGTTCAAATGCGCCTTCATCCATTCGTGCAGATCGTGAACGTCGGTGATTGTATACACAATTCCGCCGGGTCGGAGGACGTACGCGTACTCTGCAAGGAGAGTGGGGGAGATTATGCGGGCTTTGTGTTTGCGCGACTTGAAGTGTGGGTCGGGGAAGAGGAAGAAGAGTGCAGATAGAGAGTGCTTTCGGAAGTAGTTCGGCATAAACTTCATGGAGTTTGCACGAACAATGGATATGTTTTGATACGGGCCTGGGGAAGCCTGCGCAGTTGCGGCGGACGGCGTCGATGTCGCACGCAAAGCCGCAATGCGATCGTGGACATACTGAGAGACCTGGACACGGATTTCCAAACCTGTACGGAGGGAATTAGATGCAAAGTAATCGGGCGTACGCGAAAGGGTTTGCGGCAGGGCGTGCGAGGTAATGCATGCAACCGAGGAGACACTAACCGAGTATCAGAGTATCCGGAAAGAGAGGAGCAAGGGCAATCAGTAGGCCGCCAAAGCCACAGCCGACATCGGCAAATTCGGGAGTCTTGCTAGAGCCAGCAAAGGCCGGATAGAGTGCGTCCCAATTGCAGGCCCGCGGCGATGAGGGGTAGCTAAGGGCATGGTCGGAGAAGGGGTTGGCATGCGCACGCTGTCTATAATGTCTTTTCTGTGGAAGCCACCCGGGGGAGTGAGCGGGGACCCCGCGGGGAATGGACTGAAACGCACTTGGGGGAGGAAAGCATTGTGCTGCGGATCATGAGAGTCCTCGGCCGCTGCTTGGGCCGACCTCTTCCGCTTGGACATCGTCGGTGTCGACGAGTAAGAGTGGTAGCCGGATGCAAGGGAGAGGAAGGGAGAGGCCGACAAATCCGAGAGACACGTGAGCGTAATGGGCGAGCTCATAAGGTTGCGCGCTGGCATCGCGCCTTTACGCTTTCTCCTCTCCTCGTCGCCCCGACGCTCGCCATGTCTACCATCTTCGTCCGCTCCGTCCTCGGTCAGGTAGGCCCCATTCGCCTCCATGACGACTCGTGCGCTCATCTCCATTCAGTCGCGTCGCAGCGTCTTCGCCGCCCCGGCCAGGCTCGCCTCGACTTCTGCAAAACAGTCTACTCTCAAGGAAAGGCTCGCTGATCTTATTCCCGCCGAGATCGAGAACGTACGTGTATCCTCGTGCCTTGTAATCGTTTTTGCAGTCTTGCTGACGTCGTCATAACATCGTCCTCAATTGGATCGTCCAGGTCAAAGCCACGCGGGCTGCACATGGAAAGAAGTCATTCGGCCCTGTTATCGTGGACCAGCTCTATGGGTAAGATAGTCTCGCAGAATAAGATGGATCAAAGATGCTGAGCCGGTGGTTTCAGGGGCATGCGAGGGCTTCCGGCTCTGATTTGGGACGGATCCGTCCTCGACGCAGGTTCGTACACTTCTCTCTCATATAAATAGTCCTTTATACATACCGTTTCACAGATGAGGGCATCCGATTCCGTGGCAAAACCATTCCGGAATGCCAGGAGCTCCTTCCCAAGGCGCCCGGCGGGTCCGAACCTCTTCCGGAAGCCCTTTTCTGGTTGCTCGTTACGGGAGAGGTTCCGACTCAGGAGCAAGTTGCCACTCTCTCTAAGGAGTGGGCAGCGCGCTCTGCCATTCCCGAGTTCGTTGAGGAGATCCTTGACCGATGTCCTCCCACCCTCCACCCCATGAGCCAGTTCAGTCTGGCTGTCACCGCTGTATGTTTGACATGATGTCATGGCCGCAGAATCTATTGCTCACACTTCTCCGCAGCTCAATCACGACTCCGCCTTCGCGAAGGCATATGCCGCGGGAATATCCAAAAAGGAGTACTGGGGCCCTGTGTTCGAGGACTGCATGGACCTGTGTGTTTGCATAGTTGTCTCCGAGGCTGGACCACTGACCGTCGCACTCTGTGTAGCATTGCTAAGCTCCCGAACATCGCTGGTCGTATCTATCGAAATGTGTATGGTGGAGGCAAGCTCCCCGCGATCGACGCTGAGAAGGATTATTCATGGAACTTGGCGACCTTGCTCGGTTTCGGTGACAATAAGGAGTTTGTTGAACTCATGAGGCTCTACGTTACCATTCACAGGCAGGTCGTCTCATAACCGTGTTTTGTCCGCGTGCTGACGATCGTCCAGTGACCACGAAGGTGGTAATGTTTCTGCTCACACCGGCAAGCTAGTGGCCTCCGCTCTCTCAGATCCCTTCCTCGCTTTTGGTGCCTCCCTGAACGGTCTTGCCGGCCCTCTTCACGGTCTGGCGAATCAGGAGGTGTTGGTCTGGCTTCGCAAGATGCAGTCCAAGCTGGGCGAGAACGCGAGCGATGAGGCCGTCAAGGAATATGTCTGGTCGACGCTCAAAGCCGGCCAGGTCGTCCCCGGCTATGGCCACGCCGTCCTCAGAAAGACCGACCCCCGTTACATGGCTCAACGCGAATTCGCGCTCAAGCACCTCCCTGACGACCCCATGTTCAAGCTGGTTGCCCAGGTCTTCAAGATTGTCCCTGACATTCTGCTTGCAGTGAGTATACGGCACCTCGTGGGATCGCCCTCACAATAATGATTCCTGTTATTCTTGATAGGCTGGCAAGGCCAAGAACCCTTGGCCGAATGTGGATGCCCACTCTGGTGTCCTCTTGGCCCACTACGGCCTCACTGAGATGCAGTTCTACACCGTCCTCTTCGGTGTCTCCCGTGCCTTCGGTGTATCTGCGCAGCTCATATGGGATCGTGCGCTTGGTGCTCGTGAGTACATTGTCGTCTATTCGGTCGACTCCACGTTGAGATTTAATTCCATCACAGCCATCGAGCGCCCCAAGTCGTACTCGACTGCCGCCATCCAGAAGATGTTCGCGAACAAGCAATAAAGCTCGTTCGGCTGGTGGGAGCCTTGGTCGGCATCGCATTGTGAGCGGTGAAGAAAACACAACAGAAAATTACCCGTAACTCCCGACGGCTTGCTAGAAATACGCTACATAGTTGTTGTTTTGTGTACCCTTGTAGTAGTAGTCTTACGTAATGCGTGGTGGCAATCTGGTAGGGCTTCCTTTTGCAAACCACGTCAGCATTCTGCGTGTCTACTGCAACTTGGGCTGAAACGCTGAAGACATTGCATTTCTGCCTTGACTTCTGGTCCTGGTTGGCTCGCAATGACGGACGTTCGATCGCTGCTCAAAGCAAAACGACAGGAAGTACGAGTCAAACACCCGCTAGTGTCATACACTGCGAGCGGACAGCTACGATGCATTGCTTGTGGCATTGTCATCAAACAAGGGACGTCGTGGGATGGACATGTCGGTAGTAAGGCGCACCGTATTAACGCAGTGCACCTGAAGGAGCAGCGGCAGCGGCAGGAGATGGAGCGAGAGGAAGCCCTCCTTCGTCAGAAACGGAAGGCGGACGAAGAGCCATCAGACGAAGAAAATACTTCTGAGGACAGCAAAAGACGGAAGGTCGACGGTACTGACGAAGAAGAACGGATTCCTTCGCCATCCGGTGCAGCTCCAGTGGCAGAGACACGGTTTCCACAAGGCTTCTTCTCAGACCTCTCGCGGGCACCTCCGCCGTCCTCGTCTCAGGAATCAGACGATGATGAGACGATGTCCGCGCCTGCGACCGCAGCGCGATCAGCTATCGACGAAGAATGGGAGAAATTCCAGGCTGCAGTCATCAACGCCCCCGATGTGCGAGAGATGTACGACCGTGCCACAGTCGTCGCAGAGCCCTTTGTTGCTAGCAACGTGCCGGAGGGCTTCCCGTCTTGGGGAGCGGCGCAGGAAGATGGCACTGGTCCTGCTGAGCGAAGTGCAATGCTGAACGAGGCAGAGCTAAGGCGAAGGAAGGAGCACGACGAGAGGGAGCTCATCATGGATCGGCTGTTGGAGGAGGAGCGCGCGCAGGAGGAGGCGGACGCAAAGGTCACAATGCTCAAGTCAAGGTTGGATGCGCTGAAGAGACAGAGGCAAGCAGCGCGTGCGCAAAGCAAAAGCTATGCTCAAAAGTAGCATCCTGTGAACGGTAGATGCAAATGTCGGTGAGCTTTCAGCGTTATCGCTTGAATTGTACATTATGCTGAAGTAGATTGTACATGCAGTACATTGATATGAAGCAATCATCCCGTCCATTGACCTACGCCTTCGTGATTGATGATGATTCGCGAGCCTCGTCCTCCCCATCCTCCTGCGTGCCCAACCACGAACCCCAGTCCAAACCTCGTTTGCATATCATCATAAGTCCAAGCATGACTGGGAGATACCAAAGACTATGCTGGAACAAACGACGAGCGTCCTTGTCCCGTCCGTTCCGCCAAAACCTCCACGCGGCCTCCGCGCAAATCGCATTCGGCACGAGACTGACGATTGCGAACGTCCAGGATGTGAGTCCCGATAGTGGAATGAGGATAGAGCAGAGAGGGATGGGAAGGAGAGCATAGCGGAGGGCGACGAGAGCATTTTTGGTTGGTGATAGCACGCAGAGCATGCGATATCCAGCCTGTGCGTAGGACTCCCGTAGGAGGTGTGACAGGGCATTGAAATGCGGGAACTGCCAGCAGAACATAAAGATGAACAACGCGAGAGGTGCGAGCGGGTTGTCAATGGCATGCAGATCAAGTGAGACCGCTGACAAAAAAGATGGAAGGACGATCTCTATAGGGTGGGCGGAAGACGGGAACAGGGTGCCACCGCACGCTGTCCATCCCATGAGTGGCGGCAAAGCGCCGACCACTGAACCAACCCAGGTATTGACCACGCTCTTGCGCTTTAGCCAGGTATATGCGCCTGCGTAAAGAGCAATATTGGCCGCTCCTAATAGGGCTGTGGTTGGGGTTGTCATTGTCCACAAAAGAGCCGGTCCCGCGATGCCCGTAAGGACAGCATAGCCGGTGGCATGCAGTGGACTTATAGCATGTCGCACAAGGGGCCTCCCGCGCGTGCGAGCCATCTGAGCGTCGAAGGGGACCTCTTGGATTTGATTCAGTGAATTCGCAGATGCCGAGCAGAGGGCCGTGCCGATAGCAGTGGATAGGAGTACGGGCACGGTAGTTGGAAGAGGCGAGAGGGCCACACCCGACATTGCTGCGAGGATGACGAACATGCTCAGGTGGGGTTTCGAAAGCTGCCAATAGACTTTGAGGAGCTGGCGACTGGTCATTGCTTCTGTTTGCTTATACGGATAGACGGCGGATGAAGGGGGATACTGTGACATGTCGAGGGTCTGTGTGGCTATCGCTTGTGTTATGGGCGGGGGCATGGCATCGCCCAAATGCGACCGCCAAAGTTCTGGATTTGTTCCCCATCTATCGTTGTGGAAGAAAAACCAGCTGAAGTTTGTGGGCTTGCTGCTTGCGAGCGTGGATGAGAGGCGCGACAAATTTAATGATTGAGCGGAGTGGCGCAGATGAGGGTTGCAGCGGCGGCATAGATACCGCTGATTGAAAGACCTAAATGCCTTCATTGTGCTGCAAGATACCTGCACAATGAGATGCGTGATACGTTGCCAACGTTGTTTTTTCGACGGAAAAAAAAGGAGACGACTCACGAGCGTGCTGCCGGCGCTGGTTGAAGTTGAGCTGAAAGCGCGTTGCACAGAGTTCCCACGTCTGCTTCGTACCTCTCCACCATCATCGTGGCCGGTCTTTCCGACGTGCATCGCCTTTTACTGTGAACCTTTCAGACTTGCCGTCACCGAACCGTATTCATACTCTCACAATTTGGTTTGCACTTGTCTATTCTACCCTTTGACGATACTATTCACGATCTTGGTCGCTGTCGAACATGCCCGGCACGCACTTACTGCCACCGAACCTGCTCAAGCTCTTTGCCCCGCGCCCGCCGCTGCCATATGTGCGACCGCTTGACAGGGACATCGACCGTGTCAGAAGGAAGGATGTCGGCGGAGTTGGCCCGCTACTCGCTCGCCTCAGGGAGGACAAGACGCAAGGTATGATTGAATCTGGAGCAAGCGAAGGAATGGAGGAAGGCGAGGAGCCCGCTTTCACGTATGCGGAGGAGACCAAGCGACAGATCCGCAGAGAAGAGAGGAAAGCGAAGAAAACCGAGGAGTTTAATGTTGCAAAGGAGACTTGTGAGTAAAACTAATCACTCATCGCCATCGGCCTCCTTGACCTAGTTACACAGACAAGCCCGCTGATGACGCAGAGGCGGTTGGTGACCCATATAAAACTCTTTTTATAGCACGTTTGGTACGAGTGTTTGCTCTGCTTGTTTGCAATATCTCTGACTGCGCCGTTTCATTAGCACAAAAACGCCTCCGACAGCGATCTTAGGCGCGAATTCGAAGGATTTGGCAGCATCGAACGAGTGAGAATCGTCCGTGACAAAAAGGGACGCAGCAGGGGCTATGCGTTCATTGTCTTTGAGCGTGAGCGTGACATGAAAGGTACACTCGTTTATAACTCTGTAAGGCATACTAACCCAGCAGCCGTCGTCTGGATCATTACCTTTGCGTGGGTCAACCTCCAGCTGCGTACAAGGAGTCCGATCGACTGCAAATCATGGGCAAGCGAGTGCTGGTAGACGTCGAGCGCGGACGCACTGTCCGAGGCTGGAAGCCTCGTCGTCTTGGTGGTGGCTTGGGTGGTAGACCGAAGCCCGAACCTCCAGCTCCCCTCGTCAGCCGGGGAGGATTCCGTGGCGGATTCCGTGGCGGTGACAGAGCTGGATTCCGCGGTGCTCGTGGGGGAGGATTCCGGGGAGGAGGTGGAGGATACGGCGGCGGTGGCTTCAGGGGTGGGCGAGACGACACTGGTGGTGGAAGGGGCGGCAGCTTCGGAGGAGGAGGATTCAGGTACGGTCGGATCCTATATATATATATATTGACCTAACGAGGTCGCTTACCTTTTCTCAGGGGTCGCGGCGGAGGTATTGGATTTCATGGCGGAGGAGGATTTGGTGACCATGGCCCTCCCAATGGGTTTGGTGGTCCGCCGGGTGGACAGAATGGTCCCGGTGGGTATGGAGGACCTGGGGGAGGACCAGGCGGTTATGGAGGGCCTCCCGGAGGAGGACACGGAGGAGGGCCTGGTGGGTATGGGCCCCCGGGCGGCGGCTATGCGGGAGGTGGGTTTCGTGGTGACTTCAAGCGTAAAGACCTTGGAGGATACGACGATCGTGAAACGAAACGGCCGCGATATTAGGAGGTTCCTTGCGTTCATCTGGAGTAGGGGATGTCGCAGTTATGGGGAAATAATCTTGCAGGTGCTCACTGTGGGCATGCAGGTGACGCCTGTCTTCTTTCTCTCTTTGTCTTCGATGTCTTTGGTGCCTGGCGCCTGTTTGCGTAAGTATCGTCGATCTGTATCACGCACGCAGAGGTAATTCGCGAGGCAAGTATGTATAATCTGGTATCTTGAACTTTCACTTTGCAGCTCTCGTGTTCTATCTGGTCGTTCGTAATCGCATTGGTACCGGTGGGCCAGATAGGTGCAAGCGCTGCGTTGGCGCTGATGAGAAGGACACTGCCGGATTATAACAAGCCCATCAAGAGCTCGGCGCAAATCTAGGCGGCCGATGTTCTGGCTGCCGGACTCGATCAAACAGACGAATGTGAAGGGCGGGCATTGGAGACCAAGCCCACAGATGGTGTACAGAATGCTCGAAGTCTTCAGAATGTCACGGAGAGAGTCGCGGACAGGAGGATCTGCATGCCAATCTCCAGCTATCTCCAACCGTCAACGATAACGAACTGTGTTTGTAATTGTGGGACCATCTGACTCCATGCTCCCAACGCTCTGATGTCGGTGTATTGCTGATTAGCGATTGATTGGCTTTCCACAGGATGAATGGTCCCCGCGGACATATTTTGACGTCTCTCTCCGCAAGCATGATCCTTGCACATTTGTTACACATAATTGCGACTCCGCAGCTCCTTGATCCGCTATTGTTACGACTTGGCCTCGGAAGAAGCAATTTCTCGGTGTCTGAAAGACTGGGTGGCCAGCAAAGGGAGATACTAAGTGTTGTTCCTTCTCGGTTCTACAGAACGCACGAGTGAGACCAACATCCATCATGTAATTCGCTCATGCTCATAGTGGCGGAGGACAACCCTTTCAGGTTGAAACACCTCGACTCCGATCACCGTTCTCGGGAAGATTGCCATTGCATACGCGGTGGTGTCTAATGCTGTGCCTGAGTTGATCTGGAGGTCAGAGGAGGCCTAAGGGTTCGGAGTGAAGTCCCGTGCCGTGAAGTGTTGATGCGGCGCTGATGTCTGTCAGACAAATACAAATTCAGATTGTACCTAGCATGGCGGGGCAATCCACAAGAAAATACTAGCCTAAGCCTAAGGGCACTGCCTCAGACCTGAACTGAGGTCAAGCGCCTTGGTGACACAACCGACGTCCGATCCGGTACGTCTGCCGCTCTTTTGTTTCGAGGGTGAAGTGGTCACGGAAGCGTCCTCAGGGATGCTCTTCTAGTTGCACTGCATTTTTTCACGCGCGTGGGCCGGAGATGCCCCTTTGCATGGGCTTGACCATCTAGGATGGCCCGGATTCTCTTCATGAGGTGCCACTGAGTTCCGTCCGTTTGCAGCAAATGCCAGAGTTCATCACAAGGCTTCTCTGTGTTATCGTCGTGCTCAGAGTTGGCCACCCATGGCTCGTGTCGTGGACCTAACGATGCGTTGTGAACGGACCGTTCTCCAAAAGGCAGTCTGCGCTAGTAACTGGAGTCATCCACGGGTGCAACGACACTACGGCAACATCCAGACATGAAACCATAGGCCAAGATCTTCGATTAGCCGGGTTATAGCTGGACGCCGAGGGGCGCCTCCCTTGGAGCAACCACGCACGCCGACATTCATTCAACATTCAGGATCTCTTGACAGTTCCTCGACTCGCGTTTCTCTCGAGATCCATAAAGATCACGTCGTGTCGTGCGTATGTGTCATTCTGACCCCTCAATTGCGCGCATTGGTCCCGGCGTCTCAGGAACGAAATACTGGCTATCGATATCAACAGTTAGTTCCGTATCGAGGCTTTCATTCTGCAGCACAGCTACTGGCTTAGTCATATCAGAGACACTAGCGGCCTGCGCACTACTTTTTCCCTGCCACGGACCGTAAGTCTTTCTACTCCCGCCACAATGCGTTCTGCTCAGGCGCCTCGAGGAGTCACCTTCCCTGAAATCGCCATCCAAATGTCTCAGAATACTCTGGCTACTCTTCCGGAAGCTCTATCTCCATCGCACGGCGACTCTCTTTTGGATGAAACCTCTCCGTCAACATCCACAAGTAGCACGTCGCTTCGCACGTCACCGATAAGTGGAACAGAAATTCCACATTCGCCGAGGCTTTTGCGCACGCGCGCGATAGATGCAGGGATCGGTGTGGTTAAACAGAAGCGCAAAAGGTCTCGAGTTACACCGGAACAATTGGCGCAGCTCGAGCGGTTTTTCGAGGTCAACAGAAATCCAACGGCGGCCCAAAGAAAGGAAATCTGTGACCAACTCGGCATGGCTGAGAGACAGACTCAAATCTGGTTCCAGAACAGGTATTCGCGGATGATTACAGCCTGGAGCTGTCGCTGATAACATCATTCGATAGGCGAGCGAAAGCCAAACTCCAAGCAGGAGCAAGGGGAGTCGGGGAAGAACTGGACAATCCACCACAGATCTTCTCTTACGTAAATGCTGGCGATGAGAGTGAACTCCGTCGCCATATCGGGGAGGATGGACGTGAGTGAATATTCTCAAGGAAAGAATATTGAGTCTGATGATCTCGAGTAGCCGTCACATTTATGCCTTGTTATGAATTGACCATCGGGACGTGGCGGCGCATCGCGATGACGCACGATAGACATGATTTGATTGCATACGTGCCTGAGGCGAGACGATGTATCGTGTGGCACGTCCAATGCGCAGGGTCTGATTTCAAGATGGAGATCCCCTTCGACGTCATCGTGGATACCAGCTTTGCACACGTTGCGCCTGGTCTGGGTCGCGCGACGTTCAGCCTCTCGAAACCGCCTGTCTTCTTCCACCGCAAGAAGAACACTTCGCAATCCAACAGCCAGGTCACCTGCTGCTGGAAGCAATGCAGCGACTGGACCCAAGACAAGCAGGCGACGAGAGTCTTGCGCCACGAGCTCGTCGGATCCGCCGTCGTCCTTTCTCAGGTTGCGCAGAATTACAATCTCTTTGGGGCGTACGGCGATATCTCTCTGCTCGCGGCGCCGCGCTATGCGGAGGAGCCCCAAGATGGGAACGCAGGGTCCTTCCCGACGTCTGTGAGCCGACAGCACAGCATTGAGCACCTTGGGGTTTCTCCGGTACGTTGCGGGGTTTCGTCGCATGGTTAATATCCTTGGACCTCCTGACCCTCACTCTTCGCAGTCCGCCTCTGTGGAGTCCCTCAGAGAGCCATCGCCCCTCGTCCAGTCGTATGCGATCCCTTCACCGACGAATGTGCCGCAATCCCCGCTATATCACTATGAAAAGCCTTCGATGAGCGCATGGCTCGATGGTAGAATGCACACATATATCACACACGAACTACCTCCGTCTCATCCTGTCGATGTGCCAACCTGCGCATCCACGTCTTATCCCATCACCCCCCAATATCCGAGTCAGTACTCCGAGCGACGTAGTCATGAACCTGTTTCGCACCCAGGTTATGCGTCTCACAGACTTTCCTCTCTTGGCTCCGTTCATCAGAACTTCGACGGTCATTCTTCGCAATCTGGTGCGACTATCAACTGGAACAGTTTTCCGCTGGAGTCACCACAACGCCGCGGCGGATTTCAGTACTCGCGCCCACCATAGCCGTTGCCAGGATCACTCTTCGATCCAGCAGCGCACTTGTCCCAATACTTCATCAAAACCTGGGTACCACGCTTCCCTCCTGCAATTTCGCTCAGTTGATACCCTATTCCCACATTCTAATCACACATCGCGATATGGGCTTATCTGCATCAACGCATACTTTGTAGATTTATTGATAGTCTTCGTGCGCTCTACCGGGACGTAGGAAAACCGGACTTAAGTTATATCATCCCCAGTGTCTCGTACAAATTATCATTTATAAGCCCGAGCCGCTAGAAATACAATGGATCCTTGACATTGAACCATTCTAATGATCGCACTTAACGCGACATCATAGAGCGACCGCTAAGAGAATACCGTGAGTTTAGTAAATGACGACGTGAAGCACTACCTACTGACCTCGCAGTCTTCCTGTCGGCAACAGCAACCTCTGTCTTGGCTCTGTTTAGCACCTTCTGGAACTCGCTGACCCGGTGCCGCATACGCGAGTGCATGTACGCCTTCGAGCATTTGATGTGATAATGTAGATAGTCACGGAAGAGTTGAATATGGCTAATCGTGGCCGATGCAATCTCTGCGTTGGCAAAGTGGCGGGGGAAGAGGACGAACGTCACGTAGCCCACGTCGTCGGAGTCGGTGAGCCCCGGAAGGTGACGGATCTCCAGGGGAGGTTCGCGTGTGGTGTAAAGGACTTGCGGCGCACTCTGGATCGTGGGCAACCGGCGTGCATCGACGAATTCCTGCCCAAAGGCGCAGATGTCAGAAGCAATATCATTTGACAGGCCTGCTAAAGCGTACCTGGAGAAAGACCTTGCCAAAGATACGGTCTGTCTCTTCGCGGAACATGGTCGAGAAGATAACGGTGACGCGATCCGGGGATGCCTGCACGTAGATGACCTCTTCGTCGCGGTAGTGCAAGGCCATTAGTCCCCCCTGCCCGTTGCCGGCGGCCTCTAGCTGTTTCTGTGCGGCAAATGCAGACTCAAATGGGACTGCCAGTGCATTTCGCTTGAGCAGTGCGATGTTCTTGATGTAGGCATCTCGTTCCTCTAGCAGGGGATCAGCTGTGCGTCCATACGTGGCACGGAGGCAAGCCGGCCACGGATCCACTCACCACCCTCCGGGGGCATCTTCTCGAGATCAACCTCCAGACTTATGTCGTACTCTGGCTCTGGCGCACCCTTTAGAAGAGCACCATATTCCCGTTTGAGCACATCGTTCACGCCGTATCTGACAAGCTCGTCCCAGCAACGGATGTTCATGGAGAGTAGCAACGCAGTCTTGCGCTCGGGCGTGGACAGGTGGAAGCGGACGCCATCAAAGTCAACAAACTGAACGTCCAGAGAGCTCGGCCTACAGGACCTCCAGTTATAGCGGTGCATGATGGATGAGGGAACAGCACACCGACTTGATGCATTTCTCTGCCAGCGTAGTCTGGATGATGTAGTTGTGTGACTGGGGTGTGCAAATCTCAGCTGATTCATTCAAATAGTGCTAAGGTGCCCAATGTACCTCAAGTAATATCATGTTGGTGGACGTAAGTCCGTCAAACTTGTTTGGAAAGAGAGTGGGTAACGAGCAGGTAGCGATGGCCACATGCCCGCCCGGACTGGAATACTGATTTACTTACGTAATTCCAGGAGGCTATTCTGCCTTTTCGGTGATCCTTACCGCTCAGTCCTCCGTGACTAGAGTCATTCAGTCGCGATCGCAGGTAGCAGTGGCTGGACCCGACCAGTCGTCGGAATGTATGTTGAATAAAACCAGAAAGCGAATGAGGGAGAGAGCAGTGGTCAGCGGTGTTGCCCGTGAGAGAGCTCACCGATTAAGGCTCGATGCCCGGTCTAAAGTTCTGAGATTTTTGGTCATTCGCGCACAAGCTCCTCTCTGCGTTGAACCACCAATTGCTCTCGCTTTACATCTCAGCTGCAGTCTTTAAAATGGGTTCGTATCATTCTTCTGATGTGCTACCTGCGATTCACGAAATGTCTCGCTCGTACAGCGCCCAAGAAAGCACAGAAGATGTCTCTGAACGAGTTCCTGGGTGATAGCGGTAAGCAGCGAGAATCATCGTGATGCAAGAGCCGGTGTTGATGCTTCGTCGCAGCCCTGGGCTCGTGGGCTGATGAAATGGATGCCCTCCCTACTGCACGTAGGTCTTCCGTTCGTTGCAATGATCAGTATCTGTATTCATAGCCCTACTAGCTGCTGCTAGGAACGAGGGTGACCTTGGACGCCCATCCGACCGCAGGAGGGATGATTACTTGTCCTCGCGCTGTATGTAGCCATGCGCTGTTGTGTTGTCTTTGCTGATACTTGTTCCCAGCCGATCGTGCGCCTTCGTTCAGAGAAGATCTTCCCCTCCCTACAGAACCCCCCTTCACTGCCTTCATTGGTAACTTGGCCTTCGACCTCACTGAAAGTGAACTCGAGGACTTCTTTGTCGGAATGCATGTAAGCTTTACTTTGGCTCAGTAGACGCAAACACCGCGCCAAACAGGCAACTTGTCAGACAAAGTCCGTCAAAATCATTCGAGACCGGGATGAAAAACCGAAGGGATTTGGTTACATTGAGTTTGCTGACTTACAGGGTCTTAAAGATGCACTCGAAAAGTCTGGCTCGGCAAGTTTCCAGCCTGCTTCCGTATTGACCATGGGCTAACTCGTTCACTTAGAATCTGGCAGGCCGCGTGATTCGCGTGAGCGTCGCTGAGCCTCGTACGTCTTTTCAGCTTTCAGATGAATTCTTCTTGACATGAATTTAGCAAAGGAAGGCTTTCGTGGAGGCCACGGTGGCTTTGACGATGAGAAATTTGCCGGGAACTGGAGGCGTGAGGGGCCTTTGCCTCCTGACCTCTCCTCCTCTCGTGAGGGCCCCCACCGCCGGTATGAGGGTCCCTCAGGCCGCGAGCCGCCTCCGACCTCCGTCTCTGACACCGCATCTGACTGGCGATCATCTTCCCGCGGCCCGGTTCGGTCATCTACTGCATCCTCTTTCGAGTCTGAGGCGGGCGAGCAAGGCTTTAGGCGGCGGTCCAACTTCCGAGAGGGTCCCGTCACCTCCGCTGATACTGAAGAGAAGTGGACCATCGGCGGCAAATTCAAGCCGAGCGTGTCGGAGGGTCCTGGCAGTCGGTTCGGCAGCATGCGTGGCCGCGGCGACATGGGACCACCGCGGGACGTGCCCAATCCGCCCGAAGAGAGCGACTGGCGGAGGCCCCGCGCGATTTCGCGCAACAGTACCTCGCGTGCGTATATCCTCACATATGCTCTCAGTTCGTGGGCACTGAGTTCCTTTCGTCACGGTATGTAGCAAGCAACTCTACACCTTCAACTCCTCAGATGAGTCGACGCAAGCTCGAGCTCTTACCCCGATCCAGTGGCTCCTCCGCTGTCCCTTCTCCTCTCGCGTCGCCTAATCCGTCCGCAGCAGCGCCCAGTACGCACAAACCTAATCCGTTCGGTGCGGCTAAGTAAGCGGTGTTCCTGTGCTGAGCGGCGATCCTCGTTGCTAACCAGTTTCAAGGCCCGTCGACGTTTCTGGAAGGGAAGCCGCCGTCGAGGAACGTCTTGAAAAAGAACGAGAACAGTTCAAAGAAAGGGCGTCTCACTCGATGTCAAGAACGTCGTCGCGGACGGCGTCTCAGCGCGAACGGGACCACCCGGGTATGCGACCCGTGCATCCCGCCTCTTCTGTCGCCAGCCCGGCCTCTCCCACGTCTGATACGCACAAGAGTCCAGTTACGCTTGCTGCGAACGTGCGGCCATCGTTCAGCTTTGCCAGTGCCGCCGCTGGCAAGAAAGATGCTGCTGGCGACAGTACCGCAGAGAATGGGGCGCATGAGGAAACGGAGAAAATCGACGAGGTCAAGATCTGATGTGCGTGACAGAATGCTCACTGAAAAGCGTAGATTGGACTCGCCTTAACTGCCGCCAGAACGAATGACAGCTTCTGGGTTAGATGCAATGTACATCCCTTGCTTGTCTTGTCTTCGAGTTAATGTTATTTTCTTTGCTGTACTGGAGGATTCGAACAGCTCTCCTGTCTTGCACCGCCATTCTTGAATTAGCTATAGCATACGTCTGCTCTGACTGTCAGGAATCGATTGCACACTGGATTAGAGTACCTATATGCATTCAAAGCCATGTACACGAACAAATGCTCAATGTTCAATCAAAGACCGCACAACTCATGCCTCTTGTCGGCTTAAATAGTGCGGGAAGTATGATACGTTCCCTCGGATGGCGCGAGTCTCAAAGGTCGGCGATTGAAACAATTTGTAACTCTTTGCAAGCCCATTCAAGGAAAACATCTATTTTCCCCCTTCGCGACTTTCATGGTACACAATAAGACAGCTCCTACATTTCACGGCTCAAGCGAGGCGGGGAACGTGCCATTCTCCCTCTGCTCATCCCACTTGGCAGTCTTATAGACGAAAGGGGTCAGCGGACACGCAAGGATACCGCGCATTGCACACTCACCCATTCATCTGGAAATGGCGCGATCAATTATAAGGGCGCAAGGATAAAATATGAGAGCTTACTGGGGCAGAGTGAATTGTACGCCCGCTTGAACTGCTTGCAAGGCGCAAAGTCCTCGCCCTTGGCTGCGATGCACTTGAAGTAGTCCGTGTAGTTCTGGAAGCTAAAGTGACAAGTCAACACACAAGCAGCGAGGATTGGCATTGGGCGCGCACCAGTGCCAGGTCTGGTTCTGGTTAGGGAACCGGGCTATGCGGACAGACGTCAGTGACAGCGGAGAGAGACGTTGTGTTATTCCAGGATGTACCGTCGAAGCCAGCGGTTTGAAGAACGTATTTGCTGCGGCAACAGGTCAGAAAAATGCGCTGTTAGCAGCCGACTAAGCACAAACCTCGAGAGATCAGACTCAGACATGGCAGCTGTATGGAGGGAATGGGGAGGAAAGATGGAAGTGGTCGGATGTACAAGTTGCAGTCGGGAGATGATGGAATGCGCCGCGCACGGGCTCGCTCACTCTCGGCTACGCGCCTCGGCCTTAACCGTCACTGCCGCCTTGGCCCGCCACCACCATTCACATTCTGTCTGTTTGCTCGCCGCCATGGACGCTCTCAAAGCTGAGATTGCCGTAAAGCGCAAGGCACTGCGGGAGGATCCCGTTCTCGCACAGCGGCCTACAAAGTATATGCGCCGAGGCGACATTGAGCGCCTTAAGGAGGAACGTGAGCGTAAGGAACGCGAGGAGAAGGACGCAAAGGAGAGAGAAGAACGAGAGAAGAAAGGGCGGGAGCATGAGGAACGGAGGCGAAATGCTGCTGTAACAAAAGTGAGTATCTCTTTCTCCTCTGTACTATCAGACAAGCCCAATGCGCAACTGGAGAGCAGGCTTCTTCCTCCGGCCCATCGTCCGTGTCTCCTTCCCCAGATATTATCAGATCCAGTGCATCTCCAGTTCCAGAGTCCTCTGCGACATTCAACATCTCGAACGAAGAGACCGTTCGCCGCCTTCGGGCGAAGGGCCAACCTATCCGCCTATTCGGCGAGTCTGACAAAGACAGGCGGCTCCGCTTGCGCGCCCTCGAGCTCATTGAGGAGAAGGGGCACGATCGGTACGGCGGCCAGAATGACTTCAAGAAGGCTTTGGAGGACGTCGAGAATGTGGAAAGGCAGCTGAAGGACAAGCGCGCACAGGAGGAGGGAAAGGACAAGGGAAAGAAGAAGGAGGGCTCTGCGGATATGCCGGAGATTTTGGATCTGGAGCTGGTCAAGACGGATCCTGACAGGCTGTACCCCATCATCTACTATGCATTGAAACGGACGCTGAAGGAGTGGGAGGGGTGGATGGACGAGCGGCCCGGTTAGCAGCCTTTCTTGCGCGATCGCATATAACGTAGCTAACGTTTCTCTCCAGAAAACGTCAAGCGGACGGCACAGGGCAAGCTGGCAGCAGCCACGCAAAGACAGTCCGCCGAATATCTAAAGCCGCTTTTCAAGCTTCTCCGTTCACGAGTTTGTGTTATTCATCGCTCATGAATCGCTATGGTATTTACTCAAACCCCCTCCAGAACCTTCCGCCAGATATGTTAGCACGCGTTGCCGAGATTGTGCACCACATGCAGAAACGGCAGTACCAGAAAGCGAACGACTCTTACCTAAGGCTCTCCATCGGCAATGCGCCTTGGCCCATCGGTGTGACCATGGTGGGGTGCGTATATTGTCCTCACATAATAAAGTGCCATTTCTGAGAACCTTACAATAGTATTCATGAACGTTCCGCTCGGGAGAAGATTTCTGCAGATCAAGTTGCACATGTGCTCAACGACGAAGTCAGCCGGAAGTACATTCAAAGTCTGAAACGGTGCGGTAGTTTCCTGTTCTCTTGATTGTTGGCCCTTTCTAAACTCGATGGCAGGCTGTTGACATTTTCGCAGACGAAATACCCACCGGGCGACGTGACGCAGCTGATGGGATAATCACTGCATGTTCTGCTAAGCGTTTTCTCAGCGTACCATACTGCGAGCTATCTTTTTGGTCTTTTTATATCTTCTCTGTATACTTGCTTGTGCTATATATATTATTGCGGATATCTAGGTATTCAGGCAAGCATCTACGGTCACGCTACCGGTCAGATATAATGATGTATCTGGCAGTCAATCCTCTAATGCTCTGTATCCGCTACCTCCTTCCCTTCTTACTCTTCCTCCCCCCTTGACCTTGACTGCCGTCAGCTGGGGAGGCGAGTGCATGACCTGTTGACTTGACGTGAGCAAAGAGCTTCGTTCTGCTCTCGAATTCTGAGTTGCAGACATTACATTGCTAACAGTGCTGTGAAGGCATTTCCTGATAGAAATAGAGATAACGCGCACCAGCTTCACTGCAGTAGCCTCCCCTGGCGCTTGCTTCGCCGCCTCCTTTGCCCGCCGCTTCTCCCGCTTGGACAGCTGAGGCTGTGGTGGACCGGGTTCAGGCGTGCCGTCTCCTGCTGTGTCCTGTTCGGTCTCTGCTGGCGGGCTCGAGCCCATAGATTGGTCGGCTTCGTCGTTGAAGAGGTTGCGGTTCTTTCTCTCGGACTTGAGCATAAATTCGGGAGATGCAGCCCTCGCCTTCTTCGCTTCCTTCCGTGCTTTTGGCTGCGGTATATTTTCCTCTTCTCCATTCTCTTCGATTCGCTCTTTGCTTTGTGCTTGTACATCCTCATGGTCCGACATTTTCTGCAGACTGGGCGATGGCAAGGGCTCCTCAATATCCTTGTCCTCTCCGACCTCCTCTTCTTCCTCTTCCTCTTCCATCTCGTCTCCCTCCGCCTCACTGCCCAAGCCCAACTCCTGTTCCTCCTCCCTCATCTGCCGCTTCAACATCTCCACCGCCTTCAGATGCTTCTTGCTCCGCTCATGGCTGTCCCACGCCGCCTCGCTGCGAAACGTCTTCTCGCACGCGACACATTCCCACACCTCTGCTTCTACACCTTCCGCGGCCGCCCACTCGAGATCTGCCGCCTCGTCGACGTCCGTCCGCGTGGCCTTTTGCCAGTCCTGCTCGACGAATTCGGGGACGAGCGCTGGTGCAGCCGTCGGTGCGGAGGCGGGCGTGCGCGACCCGGACGCAGGGGTCCGGGTGTGCGTTTGCGATTGGTGTGCGATGTGGGCTTTGTAGCGGGGATCGCGTTTGCGGACGAACCTTGTGAGAGACTGACGGTGAAAGCCCACGTCAATTAAGCTCGCCTCTACGAGCTGCAGGGTTCTCACGTTGATAGTATCATTATACTCCTTCCGAGCGTCTTCGCGAGCTTTCTTGTTGTCTTTTTGCATTATTCTAGGCAAAATGGGTCATCATCGGTACAATTCCATAAGGGCTCACTTTTGCATACCTGCGCACCCGCCTGTCAGGTGCTTCAGATATGTTCCACTGCTCCGCCCAATTGAAGTCCTTTTTTGTGAGGAAGTTCAGCCAGAAATTGTAGAACGTTCGTGCTGCCTTCTCTTGTTCCGTCTTTGATGGAGGCGCCCAGGGCCATGTCGAATCGCCAAAGGACGGGAGTGTCATGTCGACGTATTGTTTTTCGTCGTAAGCCAGGCGGTCGAACAAGTTTCGGTATATTGTGAAAAAGCTCTGCGAACCGGGATTTTGAATGACATGTCGCTGAAACAAAGGCACTAGCACATACATCCGGGCCGTCATCAAATCCATGATAGATAGAGATATCGAGGAACAGAGCGAGGTGCCGGACAGTCAAGCCTCGGCCACGAGCTCGAGGAGGAGGCGCCCCTCTCTTGATTTCCTCGAACACGGTTTGAGCATCGGGCTCAGGGACGAGGGAAGCCTTGTGGTTGTCATACCAAGCCCTCTCCTACTTGACACGGAGGGTGAGCCTGCGAGAGACAGATACAAGTAAACATCGGCTCACTTGATCATCGCTGAGAACCTTTGGTATCACGGACCGATCAGTCTGCAGGTCGACTGAGGAAAGCCAAAAATGCACACCTCGTACGCTTGTTGCAATGCTGCGAACCGCTTCGTGGCTCTTTCCACATCGTCCACATTTTTGTCTGGATGGTGAACCAGTGCTAGCCTCCTGAACGAGCGCTGCATGGAGTAGACACCCAGAATGAGCCACGATATCTGCTTCATTGTAGAGAAGCATACTCTGATGTCGTCCGTCGTCGCGGACTCGTCGACCTCGAGCAAGGCATAGTAATCCGGCGGAGCAGCTGGGAGTCCATCCTCGGCTTGCTCGTCCCCAGTCGACTCGCGATTTCCCATTCAGTTCAGAACAATTATCAAACCGAGCTTTGCAAGTACCCGCAGAGGTTTTTGGTAAAGCGGACCATCTCATCTCAGCTTGCGATCAAGAACCGCGTTCACCACGTGACCTTGTATTTTTGAATCGCAGCGCGGCAGTGGCTGCAGCGAGCCAACTTCCCTCCTTCCCCTCCCTCCTCCAAATCTCAACATGTCCAGCTTATTTGGTTCCACCAGCACGGCGCCCGCCTCAGGTGAGCATGAACCCTGGCAGGAATTCGACGGAAACAACTGAATGCGATCGCGCAGACATGGCGGCTCGCAAGGAGGCAGTTATGCAATCCGTCCGGAGCGAGATTGCCCTGGCTAACGCACAGGAACTCATGAACGTGAGCATCATGTTTCCATCGTGTGCTCAAGCGCTCTTGAATTGCACGTATCGCAGAAAACGAACGAAAAGTGCTTCGCAAAATGTGTCACAAAACCCTCGACTTCATTGTCGAGTTCCGAAGAGGTCGGTTGCTGCTTTCCACGCTCGTGCCCTTGAGCTTACGCACGCTCCACATGTTTCCCGCCACAAGACATGTCTCGCACGCTGCCTTGACCGCTACATGGAAGCCTGTGGGTCTTATTCTCTCACGCGTCCACCCACCCAATTGTTCACTCAGGGCCATTGCAGTCAATGTTGTCAGCAAGACGTACATCGCACGGATCAGCAAGGAGAGATTGGAACACCACTGATTCTCTACTCGTCTAGTGTGTTGCTGCTCCACCCATACTCACTTCGCGCTGGTAGAGGGTTAACGCATGCTTGTCGGGCTAGACTGTGCGGTCTTGCCATCTAATCTCAGGCGCCTTCCTCGTCTCCTACCTGTGCGACCACATGCAGCTCAGATAGGCTCTCATGCACGACCAGGTACCAACAATGCTATGTCAGGCTCTGATCACCCTGTAGACACACAATGGCTGTTGGGCATGTCACAGGTTCAAGGCGGTGCTGTACTTGATCGACCTTCAACTTCAGGGATCGATTGCACTGCAATCAAGCGCTATTGGGGAGACTGGAGCTTGCGAAAACAGGAGCCGCTGAGAAATGGAAGGCGAGAAGCCAGGCTGAGCGTATGGCTGTTCGAAACAGCTGTACACGTGTGCTGAAAGCTCTGTGTTCACGGGCAGGTGGTGCAATGCGCAATGCCTGCTACCGCGACTGTCGATTTCTACACGACATCCTCCGTTCACTCTATGGATAGCGCAGGCCCGGTACTCGTACCCATATTTTGTGGATGCTGTCCATGGCACGCACCAGGACGCAGCTGAAAAGGCGAAGGGCAGTGACTCTGGGTAGGCGAGTTGCGATGGTTCAACGTAAGCAGCAAGCAGAACATCGTATTCGTCACGGTCAGCGGATGTGCGGAGCAACATTGACGTCCGGCGTTCGATAAGGGAGTGAATGCAGTTACATCGCTGTGCTGTAATGTGCGTCCTTAATCTCCGAGTAACAGACAGCGAACGTACGAACTCAAATTTGTCCAGTGCTACAGTGCCACAGCCTCTATCCTTCAACACAATGGAGGTATGCGATGATCAAGTGCCACCAATAGAGGCTGTGTGAGCGCCAGCAGACCGTATCGGACTCGTGAAGATTTGCGGTTCTATGGTACCGAACTGTTCGTTACGTATATAAGAGGTTCCACACCTCCAAGTCGCCGTGTCACGGTCTCCAAATATTCATTTCTCACATCACTACATATGTGACCAACACGTGACAAGAGTTGTGCATGTGATCCCGGAGTAGACTTCGGAGAAACACGGCAGACATGACTTGGGTGGAGTTGGCGCCAAGCGCCGGTTCCAAATGACGTCCATTTGCTACAATCGCGCGCGATTACATTACATGGTACCATCTAAGGCCATCATGTCCAAATTCCACCAGTCTCACAAAATACTCAAATGATCTTCACTTTTCAATGCCACTGGAGGGAACAGAATTGGTAAAGGTGCTCATGGATGCGATGGTAGCGGCAAGGAGGGACATGTAACAGAGCCCGATACAGTTGCCTGAGTGAATATGTGGAACAACAGATATACCCTTGAGCAGAGCCAGCATTCATGACCAATAAGTTCTCGCATGACTTCATGTAAAGCCCACGTGCCACCAGAGGGCACCAGCCACAGTAGTTAATAAAACGAAGTCGAATGTATATATAAGGTCATCAGCAGGCATTTCGACAACACACAATCCAGTTCCACTGGTGGCAATCCCCTGCCACAATCAATGACATGGGTGAAAATACCAGTCCACTGCAGTCATCCACTTGAGATCAGGAAGCGGTCCAGCAGATAATCATAGATTATAATAACCCACAAAGTGTCCTTGCTTATCGGCGGACAAAAGCGTGATTACTCACGTTAACCCAGCTGATGCTGTCATTGGTAATAGACATTAGACCTTGAAAATGAGGATGCTCGTAGACCTCATCAGGAAGGTCGATGTGGACAGCATACTCAATGAGGACAAAGAACATCTCGCATTCACTGATTTTGCGATGCAAGTGAATGTAGGCCGCTAGCTTCAGAACCCTCATCGATGCACGATCGGCAACCTGTTGCATGTAGGCCACTAGCTTCAGAACCCTCATCGATGCACGATCGGCAACCTGTTGCATGATGGCCTTGAAGTACAGGTGCATAGCATCGATGAAGCATTTCTTGAAATTAGGGCTGATAGTCTCGAGCAACTTTGTCCACCATCTTGCGAGAAAGCCGGATGTCAGTAACGATCACAAAGTGATCTGAACTATACGCACGATTTGGTTACCTGAGCAGCAACAGTATCTGAGTGAAAGGTCTCTGGATAATGCAGAGTGTTCATCACAACCTTCGCGACAATTGAAAATGCACTCTCCATCGAGCATAACAGAATGTAAACTATCATCAACAAACTCGAAGATAATCACAGCAGATGGACAAACCATTCCACACCGATGCTCGAGCAAGGAAGCTTCCATGCCACCCAGCATTCACCTCCATGAGTCGTGTCCTATGCTGTGCAAACGAGCAGTGTCCCTGAGGTTCCGGACCAGAAGTCGGTGAGCAATAAATGACAACAGGATGTTCAGAGCATCAGCACGAACATTAATGGACCATGAAGAGTCTATGGAGCTCATGAGCTTTATCCCCTTAAACGATACGGTCGAGTGAACTGAAAGCAGAGCAGACAATCTGAACAATACAGAAAACTCACCTATATCCCACAGTTGACAAATACAAGATCTACAGGTAGCAACCCCCCACCAGAGGGCTGCAGTAGCCATGAGATCTGAGAGACCGGGATACATTCACAGGTCACCATCGCCATTGAATATTGAATATTGAGAGGTTGAGTACGACTGTACGAGTATTTTGGAGTTACAATAATGAAGCGACCTAGGCTCACGAGCACATAACGTAAATGCAGTGATTACATAATAATATTCCCAAAAGCAGGTCAAACCGCAGCTAAGGGACCACGTGCCCGAGATACCCATGGTCCATCTTCACTATAATAGCCAAATTCCTTACATCATGTGGAATGTGATTTATCAGTGCAAAAAATGATGTAGAAATGTCAGCTGATGTTTTACATTTGTGGCAAAGGTTTGCCAATGTAGCATGTAAATGGCAAATAGTGCACATTAGCAGCCAAAGTGAAACATTTTCAAGATGAAATGTCATGGTTGCAAATATTTGTCGCATATGCAAGAAATCAGTCGACATTTACATACAATTTTTCACATTGATAAATCACACCATGTCTGCCGTGAAAGGTCTTAGGATATATCAGACAAGGCTTGGACATGTGATAAGGACCATTCTTAGCATACATACTGTATGAACTTGGACATGGACTAGGCATGTGACTGATATCTATGGGCTTACTCAGGATACTCGATGTAGATCAGTAAGCAGCCTCGGCTACTCGAACATTATGTCGTAGCATAAAGTTTCAGCCACACTAGATGTATGTTTGTATTTGTATTTAGTAGTATATATATCAGTGCAGGTTGACCTGAAGTCTCCAGGTTCAACTTGGCTCTTCATCCCTGACAATAACGCTTCGTTAGGTTAGGTTTATTTGTACTTAATAGTTGACCTGGAGTCCCCAGGTTCAACTTGGCTCTTCATCTCTGACAATAACGCTTTGGCTGAGTCAGAGTCGGGCTACAATCCACGTGACTTGGATCTTCCTGTCCAGCCTACTCTTATTCCCTCTCATCGACATCCTCTGCATCGTTATCATCCTTCATTTTGACAAACCACGTCTCGTGCACATTAGAATCACTCGTGAGCAGCCGCAATCGTATCCTCGGATACCTGCTCATATAAAGACACAAGCCGTCCGATCCTGCCATGGCCGCTTCACTAGGCTCCAATGCAGCTCTGCCTGTCAATAACCCTCAGCCTCGGCTTCCGCCCGAGATCTGCGAGCGCATCATCGACCATCTCGATCCGTACCCTTTGAAATGGAATGACGATAGACAGACTCTGTTGAACTGCGCTCTCGTTTGCCGAGGGTGGTACTCCGAGAGCCGCGCGGTCCTTTTCGAGGAGCCCTCACTCCGCACTCGGAGAGGGGCGATGGCCTTTGCGAGGTCACTGACGCAGATGCCTCTCCTCGATGCCCGTGTGCGACGTTTAGAGATCGGGTATTCGACGACAGTGCTGGAGTTAGCATCGATTCTCGTGATGCTGGCAGGGAAACTTCCAAAGCTGGCCTCGCTCAGCGTCTACCGCGTCAGCTTCGAGCACATGCGCAGTTTAGCGTTTTGGAGCTTGCACGAATTCAGTCATCTCACATCACTGGAGCTAGAATATGTGACGTTGCCATCGGCGAGCCCCTTCTTTCAAGTCATCTCTTCATTTCCTCAGCTGCAGTCTCTTACTTGCTGCAACCTGCACTGGAGCAAACCGACGTCCATGGCTCCACTGCCTGAACGCCACCACATGCCTTTGACGACAGTGACTTCCCTTGAATATGATCTGTCATGCTTCGAAGGCATCGGACATATCCTTCTCAGCCTGCTGGATCAGGCTATGCTCGAAACCCTCAGGCTACGTTCACCAGTCTCCGCGGCGGCTCTTGCTTTCACTCAAGGCATGCTGAACATAGCCGGCAAGAGCCTTGAGAAGGCAGAAATTGGTTTCCGCGCACTAAGACCCGGAGATACCGATGACAATGTACAGTCCTTGCTCCGTAAGTATTCCATCAAACAGTGCTCCATGCACAGCATGGCTTATACTTCTGGAGTGCATCCTATCAGCTTTGAAGCAAACGTCAATCTGCAGGCACTGCAACTGGGCATCGACACTATGAAAATGAATGATGTTGAACTGTTTGTCCAGACTGTGCTGCTGCCTCTGCTCAACACAATATCATCAAAAGATCTCAAAGAAATCAAGTTCATAATAAGTCGTGGTGACGAATGGGAAACAGATGCCTTGCTTAATGCATTTGATCCAGAGGTCTGCACCCAGATTGATGAGCTTTTGGCTGAGGGACATTTCCCCAAGCTGCGAGACGTGTCTATAGACATTGAACTACTCAATCTTGATTTGGATGACTCGCAGCATGTTGAGTTTTGCACAGAGATCTGTGCGCGTTTTCCTAAACTGATTGACATGAACATGTTGATGTGCGTCATCCTCGCTTCTTGGATACCTGACTGAACTCACATGCATGCAGTATTTATTATAACGGATGCCAATTTCCGAGTTACGCTGAGAGGGCATTGAAGGCGAAACAACTGGCCAATAAGCAGCCTCATCCAATCGAGCAAGCCGCCGCATAGGCAAATACTGCCTTGCAGTCGTGCCATCTCGCCTTCACTTTCCCTCCAAATCATCCTGGGCCCGCAGCTCCTACGGTGGCGACCACCCCCCCCCCGGCCGAATCCCATCTCATCTACAAAGTATCCAGACTGCAGCCGGAACGTCGTACCCTCCTTCAACCTCCTCGTCCACTTTCATCATGCCGTCGCCGTGATCCTGGACATGGCGTGTCGTTGCCATGGTCAGGTTGGCCTATTGCATACCCGCATACCATTTCGTCGACAATCACAGTTACGCCCTCGTCCGTGGTCACCATGATCTCTCTACCCGCTTTCCCCGTAATCACCGTCTTCGCAAGAAGTCCTTACGACGCTCACCTCACATCGCTATTATGTTCTCGAACGTCGCGCAGTTTATGCCAGTTTTATGTACTCAGTGCCGGATGTAACTACTACACGACGGACAGGTTTCCGTGTTACTATTCCTCGCTTCGCTTGATCTATAGCTATGTCCCTACTGTGCGCTTTCGTTCTAATAGGACTACAAATGCAGACTAGATGCTTCAGCAATCAGCCTGATCACGGGCATGACGTGACGGCGCAGCGAGTGTCAGGACGTGAGATATCGATAGTCGTGTGATTTACATTACAATGGTAGGAGAGTTCATCATTTCGCACTCGAGGCGAAATACCAGCGATGGCCGGAGTAGAAAAGCCACTCGCGCGGCTGAAAGGGAGACCAGATATATGCAAGAGCAATCCGAGACGAACACCGAACAAGTACATAGAGACCGAAGCCAGAGACGTCAGGAGAGACCATATAAATGAGAGGAAGAAGACGAGACCTTAGACCGAGACTGCCATAACGAGCGATTACATCAGAACCACAAAACGACGATACATATCCTAGAAAAGGCGAGACGAGGAACAGGACAAAAGGGGTACAACAAACCATTGAGATAAACATCAGCACAAAACCTCGCCGAACAGAAGATTGCCTTGAACGAATGCGCACGGCAAAGACGGTGGGAATGGGACTATATTTTTGCGACGCCGATGCGTCCTATGAAGCGCCGCGTGTCGTCGATCCGAGCCGTTCACGATGAAAGTATGCTCGCGTAGGTGTGACGCTGAAAGGAGCATCAGTCTGCGAGGGAAAGGAGGCACAAAGAGCAGTAATGGTTACCTTCCCGTCGTTTCCTTTGATGTCCGGAGGAAGCTAAGTGAAAACAAAAATTAGGACAGCACAATCAATAAAAGCACGTACGGTTCGAACGATCGACTCAAATGAGTTCGCAGACGCACCCTGGATCAACAGTGCTACCAAACTATCATAACTTGCGTGGAGATCGTCCGCGCGCCCGTTCTTCTCTCGTCGCAGATGGGGAGCCCCGAAATTCTAGCAGCTTGCGGCTGTGACCGACATGACATGACATCGAGATACAAGACCAGATCGTAAGGAGAGCGGTCCACTGGAGGGACGCAATGCGAACTCGACGTGATGGCGGTGAGGCGCGGTGTGAGCGAGACAGGGAAGTCGAAAAGGGAAGATCCTGACCATTTACGAGAGATCGTCAGCAATTTTAAGGGGGAAGAACGGTACAAAAGCTTACTGTCAACGATTGACGATGATCAAGGTCTATTGAAGTTTGATGGACGGAAGCAAAGAAACGAGACTTTAGAGAGCGACATGCTGGGCTCTTTCAGCAGTATCCTGCATCGAAAAGAAAGCCGAGAGAAAGTGGCTTCTGTTGGTCGATACCGTTAGATCGCCCACGATGTCGAGCAGTCAGTGGCGAGCGAGTGATTGGAATAGAGAGATGTATGACCGGCGACATCGCGATCCGAAAGAGTGTATTGTAGGCTACGAGGCCCCGAGAGATGGGAACGTCAGCGTCGCGGAAGAGCCATGAGGTTGCTCACGGCCGCACCCTCGAAACGCGGAAGGCATGCGTCGCTCTCCTGGTCGGAATGCTCAGGGTGAGGAACGCGGCGAGTCTTGTGTTGCACTCGTCTGGGATGGGAGCATCTATGGCTAGATCTGTATTCTCCGCTGAGGCGACTTTGTCTGGGATGGGTAGGTCGACGACCTTGTCAATGCGCATCGTGGCAAGAACCTTGACGTGTTGATGGCCATGTCCGCGTATGCTACAGTGACGGAGCGTCAAAAGAGGCAAGGCGTTCTCTGGCATGGTGGGGGACGAGGAGGATGCAGCTCGATCTTGCCTGCAGACAGACTGTAGGCTGGACGTGAGGGTACCGGTGCAGGTAGACCCAGGCACAGATGTCAGCGTGAAGACGATCACCGAATTGTCGTTCGAGACCGCGTTTCACGCGCTGAACGTAGTCGGACCCGTTACGTCTACCTCCAAGGTCACTACCTCTGGTCCGTCGTCGCAGACTGAAGTGCGCATGCAAGCCGTAGTTGGGAACGCAAAACTGGGCTGTGTGGCTGAGGTACGCAAACAGCATTCCGAGGGCAAAAGGGATCATGTGAACGCACCGGTAAGGCAGAGCCTGCATTCTGCTATAATGGGATACCCTGATGATATGACTCTGACGTGGTCGTGGTGTTCACATTCCAATAATGCGCGCATGAATTTGAGTACTCCCAATATGCGAACCAATTATTTCATTAACAAGCCTTTAGCGATACACAACCTTGAACAAATGATACGCATGCCTCCTGTCGAGCCCGAGGATGAGTGTGCAGAGACGATTCAATAGTAGTAAGCTCTTGTTTACCATGAGAAGTGAAGAAGTGATCGTGATGAGGGCACGAGAGCGAGCGATGAGATCTGAGATCTGAGATCCGCCACCTCGAGAAGCGCCGGTACCGTCACCCGCCACGTTGATTCCGAGCGTAAGCATCGCCACCGCAAGAGCGAGTTCGAGTCGAAGAGCCAAGGTTATCGAGCACAACAGAGATCGTTCGCGCTTGCAGACACCCAAGCTGCGCCGAGGGAGGAGAAGGAACGCCTGGCAGAGGCAAAGAGGCGTGAGCTGGAGACGCTGAAGCGGCAGGACAGGTAGAGAACACCGGCGGGGTGCATTTCAAGGGTGCGTCCATGCGTCCCTTTCAAAGCAGTCTCATGCTGATGGGCTGCAGGCTGCAGGAGGATGAAGTATGTCGATTCGCATTCGCACACGAGATGACCGGGAACTCGGAGTTCGAAGATCTTTAGAAGACGGAAATACAACTCGAGGTGCTAGTCACGAATCATTCGCACGCCGAGACCTCACAGAGTCCATCCTGCGATGAGTCTATGGCAATGGTAACGTTCAGACGAAGTGCACATGATCATCGTTGACGGGAATGCTCAAGGAACAGCGTGGGTGAGTGTCGTCAGATTCCCCTGCAGGACGCGCATCCCGTAGAGGACACAGACATCGTACTTGCATCTCGTCATCGATGTAGTCTATACTGCTCGGGACTATCCTTTGCTTCTTGCTATTCCTAATAAACCGGGAAGGTCTCGTCCACCTCCATCGCCCATGCTCTCAATCCACCTGCCAAGTCCTTCACCGTCCCGATTGCGCCCGCACTCAGCAGAGCGTCGACATCGAGCTGCGAGTCGTTTCCAAGGCGGCAGATCACGTATGTCTCCACTGGCGTTGTCTCTGCTGATAGGTCCTCAGACGGTTCGTCAGGCAAGCCATCTCCATTAAGTGATGTCTTGGAGTCGGGATGTGAGATATGCAGTAACGGGTTGGCTACGAGTTCTTTGATAGGTATGTCTGAACAGGTGAACGTGAGGTATGCTCAGTGGTTGGAGAGGCGACACGCACTGGTCGACCCCGGGAGGTGGCAGATCCCAAACTCAGTCGGCTGCCTGACATCCACAGTCCGCACCTTCTTGCCGGAGTCAAATATCATTTTCAGTTCCTGTGTGTACATCAGAAGGAATCCCATAAACCGTTGAGGCTCTTCGTACCTTGGGGCGGATTCGGCTGCCCGGCCTGCCCTCAATTAAGCCTCTGCCGACCCAATCTGGGCGTGTACACCCGCAGAATGTACGTAGTTCATTTCTTCGATGATGTCCTCCTTCTCGCGCTCGTTTCCGCACGCGTGACAGGTCGGCCGTCGAGAGCGCAGCCTGACGCTGCGAAATGGCGGCGTGCTGAGTGCCGAATACATCAGCATGGTCGGCTTCTTATCTATAAGTTCACGTTTCGAGTTAGCACCCGTAATGCTGAGCTCATAGGCTGCACACGCACCATGCAGGCCCGTAATGATCTTGACCACCTCCAGCGCCTGCAATTTCGCAACGCCGCTCGTCACCGCACCGAGCACGCCCAGCTCCTCGCACGAGCCTGCCAGCTCGAGGGCCGGCTTCGGGAACAGGCAGCGGAAGCACGGGCCCAAGGCCGAGGTTGTACGTGCACAACTGGCCGTCGAAGTGCTGCGCGGCGCCGCTGACGAGCTGGCGGCCGAGGCGCATGGCGGTGTCGGAGAGGAGGTAGCACGTGGGAGGTTGCCGGTGCAGTCGAGGATGAGATCATAACCGGAGAGGAGAGAGAGCGCGTTGGACGCGGTGAAGGCAGTGGTGATGGCGGACACGGAGATGCGGGAGTTTATGCTATATAGGAGTTTCGCAGCGATGACGGCTTTGTGCATTCCAACGCGAGCTTCGGTGTGTAATATCTGCCGCTGCAGGTTGGACAGCTCCACGATATCATGGTCAATGATATTCAACCTGCCTGATCGAAGGACTCTTCAGTACGCGCAGAGTTGAGTGGCTCAAGAGGACTCACCTACGCCTGCTGCTGCGAGATACTGCAGAGCAGGACATCCCAGACCGCCCGCGCCAACCACAACTACGGACGCATTCCGAAGCCTCAGTTGCCCTGAACGGACCTCAGGTCAGCTGCCTTACATAGTTCATAGAGGGACACTGGCCTACCTGGAAGGCCTATCCCGTTGAGGATCGTCTGTCTGCCATAGCGATTGTAATCGTCGTGGTGCAGAGATGCGGATTGCGAGCGCATGATGACTGTCCTCTACTCCTTGACGCTCTTGACAGGACCTGCTGGAGACATTGGTGGTGAAGTAGTGAACGCGTCCATCTGAGCAGAGACGAAGTTGACCTCCACCGGGTGGACCGAATTTGCCTCCGAGATCATCGGGATCAACGTTAACATCATAAGCCACGTGGCACCGGCCACAACTGCGATCAAAGTCCAAGCAACTGTGCCCGCCTCTCCTCTCCAGTGGATTTGGCTCTGACATCCTTATCCTACTCTACGTGCTGCCATCGCCGCCATTCTGACCACATTCACCGCATTCCATCCTCTCAATCAAGTGGCGACGTTCGCATCTCACTGATCGCGTGATGTCGGTGGCAAGCAACTCTTCATGAAAACCGTTCTGCCCATAGATACCCTCAATGACCAGCGTGAGTACGGCAGGCCCTATTGGCATCAACCATTTCGCCTACCCCTCCGCGGACGGCACACCCATCATGCATGCTGGTACGCGAATCCGATACCTTCCACTTCCTCGTCCAATGCGGGAAGTCAATCTCTCCTGGTAGGAAGAAAATCCCCATTTCTGCCGTGGCCTGACATCGGACACTTAACAAAGTGGTCCGTGTCTTCGTACAAGTTTGGCTTCGGCCCGGAATGTCTGCGTGATGACGATCCAGACACGTTCTGCAGTAAGCATCAGCATTTCAACTCTCTGGCTGATTCTCGAACGATACTAATGGCGATATCGCGGTTCAGATGGACCCCCAACTGCACTTCACCACGGTCGAATTTCCTCGCAAAGTAGCCATCCAAGTGCGGAACTCTCCAGGTCCGCGAACAACCGTAACGCACACCCGCTCACCCGGGTTTTTCCCCCAGAAACTCAGCATATACCTCAGTAGCGACCATCGCTGTGCTTGCCGGAACTGGGCTCCATGATCTGCAAGACGTGCAAGCCATCCATCTGGACAAGCCTGACGGTTGGACCACGTTCGACGCGTCTGCCGAGCCGAGCCCTGACGGTGCCAACGGTCTGTCCGTCCGACTCGCGATATGCGGATCAGACAATCGCGTGCTCATCTGTGGGCCGGTATACCAGTAAACGGATTCACGCGTACGTTATCCAAGTGATCATCCTCACGAACCACATGAACAGCAAAGATACCCA